GAAAAACCTCTCGGAGCAGAGAAGAGAACCAACAACAAACTCAACCCACATATGACGCCGGGTCCGTGAATTGAACCCGCGGGACACATTGGTGGGAGGCGAGCGCTCTCACCACTGCGCACACCACACCACAACTAAAAAACTTACAGCTAAACATTATCAATAAGTTAAAATTTATTTTTTTCTCCAGGATTGATCATATTCAATAAACCCACAGGTTTAACGCATAGGACTGGGAAGATGGGTACAGATCAATATCACCAAAATCAAGTGACAAATAGCCTGCCCGTATGCTTAACCCGTGATCAACATGAGAGCAATTCTTTCCTCCTCCACCAATCATTATCATTGACAAATAATCATGTTCCCAGTAACTGTAACACAAGAAGCCGATGTTGTTGGCGCTTTGGATCTCTCCACTGCACTCAGTCTGCTGAAATCCTTCTGTGGACTTGTACTGACCGCCATATTCTACCGTGCAGTTTCCCAGGCACTTTTCTTGGACATAACCCTTGCCATAACTTTCGACTTTAGATCGGAATGTTCGTCCGCCCAAACAGTCACCTGTGGTCTGTAACAAAGGAGTATGACTGGAGTCATTGCTGAGCGTGACTTTTAACTCACTCCCGCTTACCAACCAAAAGGCGGGCGAGATCATGTCAGCGTTCGCATCCGGATTAGTTGCTCCCATGGCACCTTGCGTAGTCCGCCAGAAGCTAGACTGCCTCCAATTCTTAATATCAGCGTTTGAGAAACGGGCGATTAGAGTCCAGCCTTTGCCCTCGTTTGTCATGTGGCAGTATACCTGGGGAAGGAAAGTGACTTGAGTTCAATCAAACGCCTCTCTATTATGGAGTGGTGTAAATAGTGCCGCACACTGTAGGATCTTTGTTTAAAATACTTGGCCCATAACTATTAGCTTTACAAAGAATGTAGGGGCTCATAGCGCTTTTCTTACTCAGAAATTGTAAAATTTTTGAAAGCCGGCATCTCCTGAACACTGAAAGAGCAGTGCGTGTGTTCAGAAAGAAAAATTTAGGCAATTAGAGGCAATCAAAGAACCATGAATCAAACATTTTATTCCATGTTTCTCCTTACATGTCTTCAGTGGCATGACTTCGGGCAACGACTTTAAGAAACTTATCGTAATAATATATGTTGTATTTGAGGAGCAACCAAACGTTAAAGAGTCCGTCAAAGCGAACACAGTGGACAGTATTGTACAATAGATCGTTTTCACGTGACGTCATATCATTGCCGGTCACCATATTGTTGCGTAGCACTTTTGATTGCATAATATTCGCTATAACTATGATTCCAATTAAGAAAAATGAATTCAAAGGAAAGGGAACCAAGTTGCCAGAACAATTGCAGTGTCGACTATTCTTTTCCGATTTCTGAATATGCCAAGTAGCTGGATTTGCCAGTATGAGATCGATATTTGCACAAAATATCAACGGTAGGAACTGATCCAGTGTTAGTGCAAGGAAATGAATTTAAGCCGGACTGTTTGCCTCCTGTTGAATCTACAGATATTTTGTGTTATCTTATCTTGGAGACAGGTTTCTAGTACACTCGGCAACAGTTTAAAGCTTTTCGAAAGCGTAGAAGCATAGACCCAAATGGTCTCTGGTTTTATCGCAAGCGTACAAGGCCACATCATCGCAAACAAGTTCGCTTTTTTTGGCGAAGGATAGACATTCCCAACATTTGAACGACTCTCTCATTTCTTGTTGGGTTATCACGGAAAGAGAAGGAACGATTTTGTCTGCTCACTGGTTAGGCTGCAAAGCTGGTCTGGCAGAATCCTGATCGCAGTTAGCAAGCTTTCTATTTTATCTAGAATCATAAGAAGCATGAACAAAGATAAATGGCTGACTTTCCTGCACGCAAGTGAAGTGCTCGTGCTTCTACCCACATACGTCAAACATGTAGATATTAAAAGGTTCGAAAAATAACCCCACGCGAAGTACGCTACTGGTTTGTGTACAATCGAGGTACACTAATGCGGCAGCGTGTGGAGGCGCGGTGGCATCATGGTTAGTGCGCTCCTTTTTCTCTCTGTGTATCTCCAATCTCTTACATAAAATACAATAGTGGCAAGAAACGTAATAGTAGAGTGAAAACAAAAGCAAAAAACTCTACCCTCCACGGCCCCACACATTGTCAGCCGTACAAGTCCCCAGTCCCAAGTTATTTTTGAAGGAGAGGCTACCCTTGTTACTAACATGTCGTGTGGCTTCAGAACGATAAATGCACCAATTGAGATTAGGAATATATACATGCGAAATATAGCTGAAGTCAGTGAGTGTGTGAAGTGCTAGAGGTATGAAAATCCAAAGAAACTATTAGAGTTCAAAACTGTAATTACTGTATTACAACAGACGGGAGTTTGAGCTCTTTAGCTATTCTGCACATTCACAAGTACAAGGACATTGATGATGTTATAACAGAGTTTGCCCGCATGAAGGGTAGAAGTCTTGCCCTTTGCTTGTAAACTCTGTTTATACTTTTGTTTGACCCCCTGTTTTTGTTGTAGCTTGCTGAGAACCCTAAAGATAGGTAAAATAAAAAAAAAACAACTAACTACTGCACTTTCCCTCGCACTTATTTATTGAAATGTCCCTCGGAAATTGCAGGAAATGGCATTTCAGAGTCCCCAGATTTCAAAATTTTGTGGGGAAGTATGCTCCTAGACCACATTAGTTTGGAGCGCCTTGGGCGCTCAAAATTTTATTATTGTGCGTACACCTTCAAAATCTCACGCGACGCCCCTGTCTCACAGTGCCTTTCTCCACCCAGGCGTATAAAGGGGTATCGGAGAATTGAATGCTGGGGATAATCCTTCGATAGACTAGCATCCCATCCAGGGGGAGTAGAAATACTCCTAGTCGCTTCATGCTACGGAAACCGGGATACGCTCGGCCTGACGGGCCACTTGGCTCGTATGTACACTTCACTTACCTAGAATATGGCGGCCTAGCAACGGTAGTCAAGGAATTGGTCGCGTGAGTGAAAACGATCTATAAGGCACTTTATTTGCTTAAATAGAAGTGACATGATTAGCCGGGTGATTACAAGAACATAACAGATAATCAATATTGCGTTGTTACACTGTCCGGTGCACCTTATTTACAGCTGTTGGAGACACGTGACGAGAATCCGAAATGTCAGCTGATACTCTCATCAATAGAGCCAAATTTTCCTAGACAAAGTTGCACAAAATCTATACTCAAAAAAATAAAGGCATTCTGCTTTTTATGTACTAATTCAATTCACTGTACTTGAAATAGGAGCTTTTATTCGAGCCCAGTGGCTTATCGACAAGGTCTTCAATTTCAACATTTGAAAAAACATGAAGCGATCCGGAGTCCAACGGGTTATGATTGCTGCTTCCCATGGTGAATAAAAGTCAATTACAGGTTGTCATATCAAGACGTGCGAATGGAGCATGTGCAATGGGGATGATAGGCCACGTATTGGAACCAACCCAAGGCAACAAGTTAAAAACTGCACTCACTTACGCCGACCAGAATGCATTACAAAGAGAGTTCCCGATAGGTTTGGAGGGATGCGGGATTTGGGTTTTTTTCGCCGTGATATTTGGGATTTGAGCTGAAAACAGGGGCGGGAAGCGGGAATTACAATTAAGAGCGGGAACGGGATTGCGTGTTTTTATGGGGTTGGGATGCGGGATTTGCAAGGGGAACAGAGCGGGATACG